GCGCTGCAGCCGTGCGCCCCCCGGAGACGCGGCCTCCGCGTCCCCCTCCGCCGCAGGGCCCAGCTCCTCCCCCGGCTGCGGGGCCCCTTCGGCTCCGGCGCTCCCCAGCTCCGGGCCCGGTTGCTCGGGAGCAGGCAGGCGGCGGCACACGGGCGGTGTGTCTGCCTCCGCCCGGATTTCCTCGGGGATGCCAAGGTTCCTTTTCCATTGAGATCTCTCCTCTGGTGGGCGTGGGAGAACTCGGTGCGTTTTCTTCCACGAGATCTTTGCGGGATTTAGGATCTGTGTTTCTCACACCCCTCTCGTACTCACACATCGGACCCTCAGCACCAGCTTTGTCACTCCTTAGTGCAGCAGTCATAGTGTAATTTTGCTCTCTGCCCGCAGGTGGTTGTTTAAAACCGGGTGCCTCACCAGCTTTGGCTGTGTTTGGACTGTGCTCGAGCTTTGCCTGCAAGGCACGTTTGCTTTCTGAAAAGGGCTGGTGCGCGCTCAGAGCAGCGAGAAGCCCTTGGCTGCTCTGGCCTCTGGTATCCTCTGAGCCGTCTCCAGCACAGTTTGTTGTCAGGCAGCTGTAATCAGGGAATGGTTTGGGTTGGAAGGGACCTTAGAGACCATCTCGTCCAACCCCCTGCCACAGGTAGGGACACCTCCCACCGGACCAGGTTGCTCAGAGCCCCATCCAGCCTGGCCTTGAACACTGCCAGGGATGGGGCATCCGCAGCTTCTCTGGGCAGCCTGGTCCAGGGCCTCACCACCTAAGGATTTTCTTCCTTATATCTAATCTAAGTCTGCCCTCTTTCAGTTTGTAGCCGTTATTCCTTGTCCCAGCACTATGCTCCCTTGTAAAAAGTCCCTCTCCAGCTTTCCTGTAGGCCCCCTTCAGGTACTGGAAGGGTGGTCTGAGCTCTCCCCGCAGCCTTCTCCTCTCCAGGCTGAACAACCCCAGCTCTCTCAGCCTGTCCTCATAGGAGAGGTGTTCCAGCCCTCTGAGCATCACTTAAATTGTGTTCGTCTGCCACGTCCTCTCTGTGAAAGCGTCTTTCAGCAGTTGCTATCCTTGGGGCAGCTTGGGCTCTGATCTGAGGGGTGACGGAGAAGGGGCTGTTGTGCCTGTTCTGCTGAGCATTTTGCTGGCACTATAATAAAAAAACCACTAATCCAGTTGCAGCACTCATGCAGTTCCCCTCTCTCTCAGTAGTTACTGCAAGTATTGTCTTCTCCAGTCTAGCATTGCAATCAGAACTTTGCTGAACTACGCTGCACGGAGGAAGGCCACTTTTGGGGACAGTTACAGTACGGTCCCGGAGTGTGCACTGGAGACACTTGGGTGAATTCGTAGAACCGTTAAGGTTGGAAAAGACCCTTAAGATCATCAAGTCCAACTGTTAACCCAGCACTGCCAAGGCCACCACTAAACCATGTCCCTAAGCACCATGTCTACCCAGCTTTCAAGTACCTCCAGGGATGGGGACTCCACCCCTGCCCTGGGCAGCCTGGGCCAGGGCCTGACAGCCCTTTTGGGGAAGAAGTTTTTCCGAATATCCAACCTAAATCTGCCGTGGTGCAGCTTGAGGCCGTTCCCTCTTGTCCTGTCGCTTGTTACTTGGGTTCCAGTTACGCTGTGGGAGCAATAGGAGGTGGAAAGCAGTTAGCTCGCGTGAAGGCAGAGGAATTTTAAGGAGGCTGCAGTTTTTGATCTCGGCCTTTTTGTGTGATGGTAGCTTACTGGGCTGTGTGAGGAGTTAGCTCCAGGTTGTTGGGATTGGAGTAACGGCTCTACTGTGGGTTCTCTCTTCAGCCAACACCGGTTATCCTGAAACTGAAGGAGGGGACGGACACCTCGCAGGGGATCCCCCAGCTCGTCAGCAACATCAATGCCTGCCAGGTTATTGCGGAAGCCGTGCGCACTACCCTGGGACCTCGGGGCATGGACAAGCTCATTGTGGATGACCGGGGTAAGCGCTGGGCAGTGGCCTGTCACAGCCATGTAGAAAAATGGCTCAGAAATAATCTCCAAGGGCAGTGCACGCGCTTTATATCTTCATATCAGTTAAAATGGGCATTTGCATATACGCAAACTTCAACTTCCTCACCCCATACTAAACTTAACTCTCACAACAGAGGTTCAGCCTCTGTTTCTGTTCAGTTTAACGCCTTGACTCTGGCCTCCGCTGTTAAGGGAAGAAGATTGTCACACCTGCCTGAGGAACTACCTGTTTGCTGGCTGCTAGTCTGATTTAAAGCAACTGTGGTCTTTGTTTTTAGGCTAGTGGGACTAGATATGAGAAGGTCCATACCAGAAAGGAGGTTTCCGAGTGTCTTGAACCTGGTCTTCAGCTATCCCTGACCACCTCTATTTATTTATTTTTTTTTAAATGAGGCTTGTAATATGTGTGGAGTTACTCAGCACTTGTGGCTGAGCGTGAGGTCAGTGGATGTTACTGGGTTGATTTTGTGGGTGTGATTTAGGGATAAGACTTGTCCCCCCCTCGGAAAAGACTTGTGTGAAGTCACCAAACAGATGTTTAGTTTGTGGTTTTTTATTGCTGGTACTGAAGGGTGAGGTGGAAGGTCTTTAAATAGTTTTTGCAAACGGGAACTGTAGTAACTTTTATTAAAAAGGAGAATTGGATTTAAATTTCCATAATAACTACTGTGATTGATTTCTAGT